AGGAGGGTTGATCTTTATCTGCAAATAAGATAAGGGTTTATCCTTATCTCTTAAAGAGAGTCCAGATCCAAATACAAGATTTGGATTAGGAAACTCCTAATGGGATTAGGAGAACCTCTCTTAATGGCTATAAATAGAGGAGGGTGAACCCCAATTCACCCAATCAGATTACTGATACAAGAGAGAAGACAGCTACAGTTGGACTGACACCATCTTCTGCTCTTGCCTTCTCTTGTTGCTGCCGCCATGGCCAGTTCAATCTCCACCTGTAGGAGCGATCAAGAAAGGTTCTTGATATTAGTTTTTGGAGAAAAACTTATCTGAAGTCGTGCTCACTCGCCCTCCATCAGATTCTTGGTGAAGAATCAGGTTCTTGCTAAAGGACCACCCTGCTGATTCTGCTCCACCCTACATTGTGTCATCTTCAGTGGGAGCAGTCTTTGGAGATCTCCTTGGGCGTGAACACCTTCATTGGGAGTTACTACTACTTTGTATTAGGTATATCCCTCTCCTACCTTTTGGTTTCAGATCTGGTCTGGTTTAGGGTTCAAGATTGATCATTGAAAATGCAGTTTTCTGAATGTGATTCCCACATGGGAGAGAAATTTTTGAAATTTCGCCATATGTTGGATCTCTCATCCCTTCAGTCTTTAAAATGTTCCACCCACATCTTCAGCACTTTGTTGCTTGCATCAAATCTTACGTCTTCATCATCCTTTGTGACTTCATTTTGTTTTGTCTCAACCTGTAGGCTTTCCACCCTCCTTTTTACCCCACTTTTCTTTGAATCTTTTTCCATTTTCCCATTCTTGACTGTAATATGTGCTTCAATACCCCGTGCATCGCTAATTGGATCGAGTAAGCCTATGAAAGTAAGCAACACCACACAAAAGGCAACAAGGAGGTGCACCAATTAGTCAAAAAGGCACTTTATATTGCATTAAAATGGCAAGGACAAGCACACAAATTTGTGTTGAAGGAACCTTGTGCTTAACCTTTAGACAGTCTTGGCACCACTCAACTACCTACCCCTCAAAGAGCAAGTTAAGCTTTTGGGGGAGTGACAGAAGGAAACATCAAAATGGTGAAAAATCATATTGGATAATTATAATAATGCCATTACCATTCCTCTCATACAAAATACATGCATAGTCCACCCATGACACACATGATGACACTCCGAAGGCATGTTGAGGGCACGGTGGAAGGTAAGGGTGTCAATGGACCAGTTTTGGATTGGACTCCGTCCAGTCAAAAATCAATTTGGATGGAGACGGATTGGGCGGACCAATAAGACATTGGATGGACCAATCCAATCCAAAATATTTATTAGATTGGAGTGGACTTGGTCGGTCCATAATAAATTTATATTGGATTTGGTTGGATTGAGCCAATATCCAATCCATTGATATAATATAAGATTATAGGTGTCAATGGACTGGGTTTGGGTTGAAACCAATCTAAATTAAAACGAATTTGAACAAATTGGACAGTCTAGACATTGAATTGAACCGGTTCAAAATGGTCCAAAATAATTCAATGGATTGGATTGGACCTGGTCCATTTGTAATGGACTCACATTGGACTTGGATCAGATTGGACCAAATCCAATCCAATTGACACCCCTAGTGGAAGGTGCTTGTTGGTGCAGTGAGGGAGTCACTTGTGACAATTAGGCACCACATAGGATAGGATGAAGTGGGAATGCCCCCCAAATACTAGAAATATCTTTCTAACGTTTTCCCCCACTTGCCCATTAGCAATGGCAATTTTCCCCATCCTCGTTGTGTACCCGACTTCCCCAGCCCAATGGGGTTGCGGATGGGAATTAATAGGGATCCCCAGCCGGGGTTGGGGTTGGGGAGGGGGAATGAAGCCCTTGCCTCAGCTTAACCCCGATATATATTATTTATTTCTTTATATATGATATTATTTATATTATATATATATATATATACATATATATATCGAAATAAATTTAGAATATTATTTATATTTTAAAATTTTCCTTTATTGTAAGTAAATTTATTTTTCAAAAAATACTGTTAATTAACAATTTTGGGGGATTTAGGTCCCCACGAGGAACCCATCTCCATTGGGGATGAGGATGGAGGACAACTTTTATCCCCGTCAGGGATCGGGGTCATGGACGAGGATTTATTTCAAAATCAGGATCGGGGACCGGTAGCATGATCCCCACCCCGATGCCATTCCTATTGCCCATGCACATAACCCAGTGCAAAATGTGGTGTAACCATTTGAAGTTAAATCTGCCCAACCAAATGCATATTTCATACTTTAAGTCAAATCACCTATGTTGCATTTACATTGAGTCAAAATGGGAGTGCAATACTACAGTTCCAAACACCACCTTAATAAATACAAACAAAACAGAAGAAACTGTTGATCAACAAATTCATTAACACAATATCATGCCACCCAGCTCCAAATAAGCCAACTTCCTAATAATAAATCAATACCTTTGCAACTGTAGAACCAATACGTTTTTCCCTACTAGAAGCATTTTTTTCATTCCCACGAAGAATTTTTTGTTCATATCTTTCCTTAAACCTGAAAARACTTCAAAATTCAATGCCATGAAAGTACTATGTCAGCAAAAGATAACCAAGCATGATATAGAACTTACTCTTTCTTATCACCCAAAAGTTCAGGGCAACAGAAGTTGAACAAAGCCCAAAGTTCCTACTTGATAGCAATAAAAAGCATCAAAGAATCTGTAGCATTGTATATATGGGTTTCATAAATCATAATATAAAAGTGTAAAAATAAAAGCACCTTCAGATTGTTTTGCAGCGGTGTCCCACTAATAATGATACGGTGAGCACTAGGTATCTCAAGCAAACTTCTGGCCCTTTGGGTACTGGGGTTCTTTATCAGATGTCCCTTATGTGGTAAATAAATCAAGGAGAAGGGAAAATCAAATCAATAAAAATAACCAATAAAGTTTCATTTGATTAAATATAAAAGAAAATTATGGTCCTTCCAAATATTCACCTAGACGTAGATGAAAAAATTCCAATGATATTAGAATGTAAAAGTGAAACTGAAACACAATTATAAAAAACCTCCATTGACCACCATGACAACCTAACAAGGATAGAGAATAAAAAGTTCATTGGCATATACAACCACTTATTGTATTATATACTAAAAAAGGCAAAAAGTAGATAAAGTTGTCTACATCGAAGTTCAAAATATCGATACACCCCAACATGGCAGAAAGGGTGTATTGACACTATGAACCTTGTATTTTTTATTGGTCTTCTTTCAAAAATTCAGGATTTCACCTATTTTATATTTTTAATCATTTTTTTATACATGAAAACAAATTATTAAACCAGAAATAATAAGGCAATACAGGAAACCCAGAAAGAGGCACGAGCTGTTACCTCTTCTAATAAAGTATTACATCAAATTAAAACAGAAATAGCCCGAAGTAAAATTACAGAGCAGACCAAAATAAATGTTCCCTTGAAGCCCCCTGCTTAGCTAACCCATCCACTAAGGTATTTGCTGATCTTCCCACCCAAAGAGAGGTAACAGTCATGTTTCTTGTGAGCCAGTTGACTTTCCTCAATAAATTTGTGTCACCACATAGCTGAAGCTGGGTCTGTCAGCCATCCCACGACAATCTTACAGTCTCCTTCAACTACCAATTGCTGAACTCCTAGTTCTTCTGCAATCTGAATACCTTGTTCCGCCGCTAAAATCTCAGCTCTATTAGAGTCTCCTATTCCCACAGGGCCTGAAAACAAGGCTAAGATGTTTCTCTCCGTATCTCTCAGCACCCCTCCTATCCCCGATGGGCCTGGGTTTCCTTGGCTGCTGCCATCAAAGTTCAGCTTTACCCATCCTTCAGGCAGAGGGATCCACATTGCAGATTCCCTGTCCTTCCTTGTATGGCTGTTAGCCACTGCTATCCAGTTTCTCCAAATATCATCAAAGGAAAAAGTATGAAAGAAGTCCACTGTTCTCAACCAGTGAATGGCCCTAGTGAAGAAACTTTATATTTTTAATCATTAAAAAAACACAGTTTAGTAAAAACATCTTTAAATAGGTGTATTGGAGATACAATAAGATACGCCTGATATAGGGTGTATCATATCAAAATTTTGAACCTTGTTGTACATATAGAAATAGTTACTCAAGATATGCAAAAGTAAAGAAATTAGATAAAAAAATAGAGCATGTGACTATGGCTGGCTACCAAACTGCCACATACATCTGGTAGCTACCTCATCAAGTATAATGTAGTCCCATGTAATGTTGTCCTCACTTCTGTCATCATGAAAGTGGTTGTCCCCAATTAAGGATTTTGTATTATTCCTCACAATATCATATGTTGTCAGAAGAACACCTTTGTCCTATAAGAGAGGCAAGCAGATTTGGTGAGTGTCATCCTAAAATTGGACTGGAGAAATTAACAAGCATGATACAAGGAATTGAAAATCAAAATAGCATGCTTAACATTAAATTCATACAAGCATGCAGAATAAATGACGCCAACAGCATAAGTAGAATCACTTGCACAAGCAACAGTTAGCCTTCCACAGGATATAAAAGAGACAATAGCACATATTTTCACAAGTACTTTACTATTCTCATGTATAGGATACAAAGGCAGGAATGGATTCATGTAGCCGATCCCAAAGTTAGGACTATGGCAGAGATGACTTGATGCTATTATTATTTATCAACTTTTATCTTTGAGTCTGCTAGGAAGAAAATTAAAACCTGCAGTATATATTGAAGCTCGTATTCACGCAGCTTTGCACAAGCTCCAAAGTACCTGCATGAAAAGGGCAAGCAATCAATAAATGAATACAGATGATAGAAAAAATTCTATAAGATCTAGCAATATATATCAGCAAGAGGAAGACAAGTTAAAGTAAAATAGCATTACTCTCTTGTTTTCTGAGCAAGCCCCACAGATGATAGCTCTTTGATCCAATGAGAGAGAAGTGTTTTGGGAGCTACAACCAACACCCTCTTAATCAAGCACGAGTAAAAAAGTCCAGCCAAAAAGCTGCATATCTGAGAAGGTTCTGAGTAATTAGAGAGAGAGAGAGAAAACAATTAGATTTATATATGGAACATTGTGGAATTTAAGAATACAATACATAATCCAACCATCTATTATCAAACCACAAATTATTCAAGATGGCTTCTCCACACAACCATGGGTGGAACTTGTGTGGCTATGTACAGAAGTCATCATGTCAATATTCCAATACAACCATCAAACAGAAAACAAGTTAGCACATGGTTACCAATGAATGAAGTTTATCCAAAAAAATTGCCAAAACAAAGCGGCCCACCAAAGGTCTCATAAAACACTAATGCAACAACTTTTTTTGTTTTTTTTAAGTTTTTTTTTGTATCATTTGAAAGGGCTACATAACGGGGGGTAGCCCATCCCCCAACCCATAACTCCGCCCCCCCCCCCAACCCAGGTGCAGGCGGGATTTGATCCCAAGTCTCCGCTATGACCAGCAAGAGACCTTATCAACCAGCTGGCTGGCACCTTACAAATTTTTTTGATAGATGTTGTTGTGAGGATCATTTAATTGCTATTTTATAGTTGCTGTTAGTGGGTTGTCAGCTTAAGATGCTGTCAGTTAGTTATTTTCTTTCTTTCTTATTAGTTTGTTTCTAGGGAGTGCCGCCAGGGACATACTTGTAATCTCCATTCTTTTTATATTAAGTTAATATAAATAATGAACCGGCGGCAGCCAGAAGTGGTTTTGGGCTATAAAAGAATGTCGGTCTCTCCTATTTGAACCTGCTTCGTCCTCTTTTCCTTCTTTGATTTCTTGGACGTGGAAGACAGAGAAACCCTAGCAAACTACTTGCAGCTCTTCCTTTGGGTTCTTCCTTGGTCGTAATATCAAGGAAACCCTAGTCGAAGAAGGGCGATGCAAAAAGAGACTCCCTTTCTTCTCTGTTTGATGCTGTGAAGTCAGTTTCTGGTTGGCACCTTCGTACAGGTGCTGGACAGGGTATGTGTTCTTGTTTTTTTTTGTTTTTTGGCCAATGGTGTGAAGGCCTTATTCCTTGGTTCTATACATTCGTTTGGATGCTGGATTGTTAGACTGTATGGGTTGTAGTCGGATTGATAGTATACTACTCTAAAGTTTGCCTTGGATGGTGTTGGACTAATTACTGAGCTGTTATAATGACTGAACCATCACAGAGTTGATTTCAGCAATTTTTTTGTTTTCTTTTCCACATCCCAGAAGTAAATTTCTTGAGGGTTGGTATTCTGTTTGTGGTTGTTGTGTAGTAGTGTGGGATTTGGTCTGATTTCAGCAGTACTCTATGGCAAACTATGATTCAACTTCATCGGGGGTTACACCGACCCGCAGCACAGCTGGTATGGGAGGTGAAAACATGATGTTTCCCATGCCCATTACCCCTTTAAATGGTCTAAACTACCTGGAGTGGGCTAAARGTGTAAAAYTTTATRTAACRRCAAGGGGAAAAGCTGGTTACATAAATGGAAGGGTGAAAGAACCCAAGAGTGAGACAGCTGAACATGATAGGTGGGACCAAGAAAACAGTATGGAGATGTCTTGGCTCCTTGCAGACATGGAACCGAATGTGAAGAAGAACTTTATGTGGGCAGACACCGCAAGTGAGATCTGGGAACAAGGAAAAACTACCTATTCCGAGCAAAGGCATTGTGCCAAGGTTTACCAGTTGCAAGCTGAATCCTCAACTTGTAAACAGGGAAATCATAGTTTGTCTTCCTATTATTCAGCCCTTACTTCCATATGGAAAGAATTGGATCATTATCAAGCTATATAGTGGAAACATGACGACGATGCTAAGGCCTACAAGAAGCTGATTTCTCAGCAGCGTGTGTTTGCCTTCTTGTTGAGACTAAACCCTGCTTATGAACCCTTGAAAGTTCAGATCTTAGGAAGCAAAGAGTTGTCGTCGGTTCACGAGGCATACTCCCTTGTTCAATCGGAAGAAAGTAGGCGGAGTGTGATGGTTACAACCGAGGGGGAGCAACAAGTTGCTTTGGCTGCAATGAGTAATAACAACATGGGGAAGAAAAGTGACACCAAGAAGGCTGATGATAAAGACAAGTTGTTTTGTACCCACTGTCGACGCTCATGGCATACACGTGACACATGTTGGGACATTCACGAGAAACCCAAGTGGACAGTGAAGAACCAAGAACAGGGTAAAGGGCAAGGTCAGAAAAAGATGAACACAGCACATAATGCAGCACATGTGGCAACCCAAGATACTCAGGTTGCCGGTACTACCTGGGACCACCTTAATAATTCTGACCCCAAGGAAGATATAATGAATTCCTTCAGAGACCACTTGGAGTCATATGGTAGGGCTTTGCGAAAGATGGATAGCTCAATCACTGGTACTCCTACTTCATTTGCATCTACATCAGGTAATATGGCTTCTACATTCCATGTCACTCCCACTGGTTCCCCTTGGATCATTGACTCAGGGGCCTCTAACCACATGACCGATAAGCCGAACTTGTTTCAGACCTATAGTCTTTTGTCAGGAAGGAATAAAGTGAGGCTTGCAGATGGCTCATTCCCCTCCATTGTAGGCCA